GTACGACGACTACACACACACACACACACACACACACACACACACAATTTTGTTTTGACCTTCGTTAACATCAAAATGTTTGTGTACATGGATAAATTCTACTTCTCATTCAGTAAGTATTGATACTATTTCAGTTGTCGATTGTCACTAAATGAGTAGATATCAGTGCAAGCTGTGAATTTAGTACATTGAAAATTTGTCGTTTCTGAAGTAGAAAAATATTATCGAGGAAGATTGAAGTATATTCAAGTGATTAAATATTAATTTTTGTATCCATTGTTATGATAAAATCATTAATAATTTCATTTAGAGAAAAGTGAATTGGAAAAAATCTTAGTAATGTTTTGATTTTGAATATTCAAAATTTTCCTTTATTTTATTTTATATAGAATATCAGTCGATAACATCGAATAATTCGTCAAATATGAACGATGACGATGAAAATTCTAAAATATCTATTGTTTCAACTAATTTCTGAAACGGAAATGGCTTCTACGAGTTTTGAAAATAGAATAAACACTCCATTAACAGCATCCATTGAGAAAGCAAGTTTAGAAGAAGAATGCAATAAAATCATCATATTCATATTTAGATTATATTTAGATGGTACATGGTTTGTTCCTGATTTATCAAAATCTTCTACTAGAATAGTTTACGGCATATGTCAGATGTGTAAAGTAGAATTCAACAAGCATTCTGTCATAAGTGGAAGTTTAAACTCCTCATCTAATTTTAAAACTCATTTGAAGGTAGAATGTTTTAAATTAATTATTTTAATTGTATTCATTCTTTATTGTCTTTTATTATCCTATTATTACTAACAAAATATTATATGATTGTAGAGAGACACGCATTAATAGAGTCTAATTTTCAAAAGATTAATAAAAAATTGCTATCATGCAACAACAAATTTCTATTTTTATTGAACAACTAATTATTAACTTTAAAAATAAGAATAATTCAAGTCATTATTATATGTGATGTTACTGCAATTTGCAGATAGCAAATTGAAGTTTGGTAAATTAAATTTAATAATTTATGCTCAATTCTATAATTTTAAATTTGTATCACTCAAATGATTATACAATTTAATCGTAATCTTTGCTTAATTAATAATGAATAAATTATTTTTTTTACTAGAAATATTGATACTCATTTTAATGGTAAATCGATAACATTGATTTCTTATTTAAATTGTTTAATAGTAAATTTCAAAAATAATAGAAATGCACTTGTTCTATAATGTACAACCTGGTAATTTTTCCATAAAAAATAATTTTATTGTTGCAAAATTTAAAAAATTGTAATAATAAAAAAGTTTCTTCTTAAAAAATTTATATGTGATATATATTTCTTATACCAATTATTTTCAGAGAGTATATAATGAAAAATTAACGGAGTTTGAGAATTATGGTTTAGTTAAAAGATAATGTCTTCATCATTCCCAGGAAAATAAAAATCGAAGAACTTTTTGTGATTTTTCTCAAAAAGAATTTGAAGACAATGTTACAAACTTTATTTTAAATAGTTTTGTGTCATATAATACAGTAGAGTTACCGGCATTTCGGAAAATTGATGATAATTTTGATTTATAATGATAATTTCTAATGTAATTCAAGTAAATATAAAGAAGTCAATCTCGTAAGATTGACTTTTCAATTCATTCACAATACTTTATGACAAAAACACAATACTTTATGAAATTCGGAATGTTACTGAAGAAAATTGTATAATAGCTGAACAGTTATATTACGCGCCTTATGTAGCGCTTATTCAATTTCAAGTTTTATCAAATTTAATACTTTTATATCTAGATAGATAATGAATTTCGAATTATAAACATGTATTATAGATATGAATACTCATAAAAATGGCAAACAACTGCATCATTTATTTGCCCGGACATTATTACGAAGAATTGAGGAGTCATATAAAATTAAAATGAAAGATATAAAAAATGAGATTTCAAATGCCAAATATGTGTGTACGACAGCAGATATCTGGAGTAGTCACAATCGTTGATTCATTGATGTAACTGTTCATTGGATAATTATTGTAGATATTAATTATTGGATAATTATTGTAGATATTAATTATTGGATAATTATTGTAGATATTTATTTATATTATTAATCAATGTATAATCAATATTTGAAAAACTCGCATTCACTCATCAAATCGTTATTCTTAATCGTGTAAAAAAATTCAAATGAGCAGATATTGCCCAAAAAGTTAATTATTCAATCCAAAGCGTTCTTTCTCTAATTGTAAAAAATTGTTGATCATAGAAGCTTACGTTTTGACTGATAGATTTTTTTCAGTCTTCGAAAGTCTGTATGATGAATTTCTTAGATTTTATTTTTTTCTAATGTTAGAAAGGCTTTCGATGAATCAATTCACATCTGTAATAGTGGTTATTTCATTTAGAACTTATCATACATTGTCATTCAGATTATGCACAGAAAAGAATTTCAAAGAAATATTCAAAAGAATTTCGTATGCCATTGCCTATAAACGATTCCCACACACATGACCGAATTATGAATATTTTGAATAAAATTCATTCAAAATTTGAAATAACCAGCGAAAAGTTGATAGCAACTGTTACGGATAATGGTTCTAATTTTGTCAAAGCTTTTCAAAAATCCGGAGTACATATAGACGAATCTTTGTTTTATGAAGGTGACGTTTAAGAACTTTTTTCTACCAATACACCTAAATCTAAACAATAGAGACATTCATAGATAGATGAGTAAATGATCGAATGGACCCTTAATTTGTTCATAAAAATTTAATATCTAATTGATATTAAAAATAGTTTTATGCACCAAGTTTCTGCCTGTCCAAGTTCTGACTCTTTAATTCTTTTATTATTTAATTCTATTATGACTATTAGATAGTCTTTTATTTTAATATATTTTTTCTTCATTTTAAACATCTATGAAAATTGAAATCTAAATAAAGTCATCAAAATTGAAAAGTAAATTTATGTGAAAATTTATTTTTTACAGAAAATTTCATAAAATTGAAATTTCAGTTACAAAAAATCAATCTTTAAAAATCTTTATTTAAAAATCGTTAGTCCTAAAAATTTAAAATTTTAAAAATCTTTAGTCCTAAAATTTCTAAAGATTTTTAACAATGTACGAGAACTAATGGTACATGTTTTAGACTATATCGAAGCATGTGAAGAACAAGATTAAAATGTACATCAGTCTGTGGAAACAGTATCTTTTGAAGGAATTATTTCTCCATTATTACCTCCTCATCAAAGATGTGATAGTCATACTTTGCATTTAGTTGTAACAACTGATATCTTAAATGGTCAATTCACATGAAAATATTAAACTGTACAATGATGTAATGAAAAAATGCACGAGTTTGTGGATTTCAATAAGATCTCCAACAAAATATGAGATAGCAGTTGAAACATGGGAGAAACATTAAAACGATCCGTTGCCGGATTAAAACGTCCGCTATGCGGTGGAATTCGTTGTTCGACTGTTTTAAACAACTTATAAAACTGAAAGACAAACTTTTCACCTTGTATTGTCAATTAGATATTGATCTCTTATCAATGGACGATTTTATGTAATACACAATTCAGAATACATGCAAAATGAAAATTTTTCAAATGATTTGTGATGATTAATATGTTATTAATTTTATAGATTTATAGAAGAATATATTAAATGCACTGAACCAATCGCAGAAACACTTGATATTCTTCAAAGTGAAGTTGTCGTCAGTTACGGTTATTTGTTGCCAACAATTATTTCTGCTAAAAATAAATTACAGAAAATAATCAACGCAGATTTTATTTATTGCATACCATTGGTTAATTATTAATAACGAGTTTGGAAAGAAGGTAAAAACAATTTGTTAAAGTAAACTTTCAAATTTCTCTCGGTAAGTTTGCTTGCATCAATTATTATCTGAAATTCTAAAATATTGAATATTACAGACGTGAGAAAAATTAAATAATTTTAATTATTAGAGTAAATTAATTTTAAATATTTATTTGGAAGAAGTTAATTTAATTATGTTCACTTTCAGTAATATTAAGATAAATTTTTATGTTTTTTCTTCTATTGTAGATTTTCGAATTTATTTGAAATTGTCGAGGAAGGGAAGCAAGCAGCTATAGCGGCGGTAACTCATCCGAAATTCAAAATAAGATGGTTGAAATGCTTAAATAAAACAGCTCAAGAGAATGCAATGGTTGCTATAAAAAATGAAATAGCAACATATTATCAGCTTCCATTACAAAATCCCATAGAGATGGACATTAGTAATGATGGATTCGATTTCGATAATGAAAACAAAGACAAATCAAATGTT